ACAGACAGACAGACAGACATTCTTGCCTCAAAGACAAACTTCTAGAGTTGATATTCAGTGCACTAGACTGAAAATATGCAGCATAATTCTTAGTAGTTTTGCTTTGGTACAAGCCCTACTCAGTTCAGTGGAACTGATTTCCAAATATGTGTATTTAGGGTTGATGCTTTAACGTTTGCGTGCTTAATGTTCATATTTTTTAATCAAGTTACATAGAACAAAACAAAATGAATATAAATCAGCTTTGGTGCAACACATTTTGAATTTCTCCTGCAAAGGTTTATTATATAATTTCTATGTACCTTATCTTTATTTGACAAAAATTTGTAGTATAGAAATTTTCAACAGTTAATATGTTTTTAACCAGCAAGCATTTTGATGTGTCAGTGTTGTCAGTTATCACAATAGCTAACTTCACTTTTCTTTACTGAGTACAGAATGCAATGCTCTTGAGATATACCGTAATCCCTTTGGTTAACACATTACAAACCTTTGTTGCTTCCAGTGGCATTTTTATGACTGTAAAAAGGAAATGTTGGCAATTTTTCCTTCCCAACAGTTTCTAGAGAGTGACCAGGAAGTAGAGAGGAGAGAAAAGGGAGCCAAAAAGATAGGTCAGCCTTAGAAGATGCATGCACATGCTTTCAAAGCTTACTGACAACATATTCAAACACAAATCAACATCTTTAGCTCTTTACTTTTGTGGCTACTGAAACAGAATGTAATTCTTGCTTTTTCTAAAGATGAGATCTTCTGTTTTCAGATGCTTCTGAAGAAGCAGGCCAAAGTAAGCACATTAAGACAACCATTAGAGAATTGTATGTGGCAGTCATCACAAATGCACACATAAACAGCTTTCGATAGAGAAAGAGACCCAAACAAAAACTGTAAGGGTGGAGTCAGAACAGACTTAGAAGTAAAGGAACCAAAAAGAAAGTATTATTTCACTTTGCATGCTTTGGTGGGACTGGCATTGACTGGAGAAAGGGCCATTCATGCAGAGCTGGCATTGGAGAGAACAGATTTAATACCGAACTTATATCAATCCATATCTGCCCATTATGTTTGCTTGGTATCTGAGAACACTTCCCCCATATCTCCTTCTAACCATATGAAATGGAATAAAACTACACAAAGACATTCCTTCTCAAGAACCCAAACATGGACAATTTCAAAAGATAGGTTTACAGGTAGAAGCATTGTCCAGTTTTGTTCAAAATATCTCCTAACGTTTTCTCTCTTGCTGTGGCTGCATTTCAGTATCTATCTATCTATCTATCTATCTATCTATCTATCTATCTATCTATCTATCTATCTATCTATCTATCTATCTATCTATCTATCTATCTATCTATCTACCTACCTACCTACCTACCTACCTACCTACCTACCTACCATCTATAGCTGTCTAATTCTTAGTCTCATATTATGTCCAATTTGACTGTAATTGAAGATCTTTTGTACTTACAGACTAGACAAATGTAATGGTGGTGAAGCAAGAGTGATGGAATGGGTATTTTACTGTAAAATGTAGCAATTTTCTGCACCAAAGAGTGAATAGGTAGCTGAGAAGCAGGCAGATAAATTACAGAACAGAAATAATATCTTGCCGTTTGTGGTCAAAAAGGCATAGCATAATGTTGCATTCCAAAATTCAAATTTATGGGGCATTTCTCTTAAAATTTATCACAAGAACTTTAATCTGTGATAAATAACATAGGCATTTCTAAAGATTAGGGAAAAATGAATGGACTGAAAACCTTATTACTAATTCCCAGGCAGATTAGAAATTTGCTATTATAAGACATTGAGAAAAAAAGATGACATGTATGCCACTGTGTTCCATCACTTGACACAGGAGATACACTCACTGCTATTTGTTAGTGTTGAGAAATAATTGGACTTTAAATGCAATCAAGAGTAATTAGAAAGAAAGTTAAAATAGGGGGAAGGGTGGGATTAACAATTTTCTTTCTTTTTCCAGCATGGAAAATTGACAGCATTTACTTTGTCATTTAAGTCCCTTCAGGCATAAATAGCAATAGCACTTAGACTTATATACAGTCTCGTAGCATTTTATAGCCCCCTCTGAGTGGTTTACAGAGTCAGCATATTGCCCCCAACAATCTGGGTCCTCATTTTACTGACCTTGGAAGGACGGAAGGCTGAGTCAACCTTGAACTGGTCAGGATCAAACTCCTGGCAGTGGGCAGAACCTGCAATACTGCATTCTAACCACTACACCATCATAGCTAGATGATATATAGAAGGCATGAGATGACTTCCACATTGCCTCCACATACTTGTGCTCTTGTGAAAGCAATTGAAATGCTAACATCTACCTGTGTGGGAGGAGCTGCACATAAATAAAGATTTCTATGTGTTTGGGATCCCCTGGACCTGAGAGCATGGAAGCAGGCATTGTGCTTTGGCAGTTCAGGTACCCATATCCAAGAAGATCCCCAAAAAAGTATCTGATGTTGGGACTGGCACTAGTAGTGTGCCCTATTCCATTTTAATAAGCTGAAACAAAAATATGATTCAGATTTGACGTAGACTGTTGCATTACTGTTATGTACTAGAAATCCTCCAAGGTCCTTTTCAACCCTATGATGAGTAGAGTAGAGTAGAGTAGAGTAGAGTAGAGTAGAGTAGAGTAGAGTAGAGTAGAGTAGAGTAGAGTAGAGTAGAGTAGAATATAGACTAAAATATAGACTAGAGTAGAGTAGAGTAGAGTAGAATATAGAGTAGAATATAGAATAGAATAGAATAGAATAGAATAGAATAGAATAGAATAGAATAGAATAGAATAGAATAGAATAGAATAACAGAGTTGGAAGAGACCTGGGAGGTCTTCTAGTCCAACTCCCCGCTCAGGCAGGAAACCCTATGCTATTTTAGACAAATGGCTGTCCAATCTCTTCTTAAAAATTTCCAGTGTTGGAGCATTCACAGCTTCTGGAGGCAGGTTGTTCCACTGATTGATTGTTCTAACTGTCGGAAAATTTCTCCTTCGTTCTAGGTTGCTTCTCTCCTTGATTAGTTTCCATCCATTGCTTTTGTCCTGCCCTCAGGTGCTTTAGAGAATAGCTTGACTCCCTCTTCTATGTGGCAGCCCCTGAGATGCATGCCTCCGTACAGTGTGCAAGCTCAGGCCCACCAGCCACAAGAGCCTTTTTTTCCCTACAAAAGTGCTCCTGCCCTAAACACGCTTTGCATCAATCTCAACTGATCGTGTCATTTTTCACAGATATTCCCTTTACAGGATAGTTTCATTTCTCATCTTAATTAGAGCTATCCATCTTTAAGCTACAGTAGTAATAAATCTGGATATATTACATTTATTATTATATCTTATTTTCTGATATAAAGATCAATAGAAACCAAATGGCTACTAGAACGCCTTTACTTAGAGGAAGTAGCAAGGGACTAAGTAAGACACTAATCAGTCAGCTAATAAAAAAAGAGTTCTCTCAGGTTATTCATAATATTTGGTTTAAAATCAACAGGTAGAGCATTGGTGAGACCTGAAACATGCAAACTGGAACTGTTGCAAATGGGATTATCCATGCTTTACATTAGAGGAAGAAACGCTAACCTAGAATTCTTTTTCTGACCGAGAGTGAATCGGATGGTTTTGCTTTGAGATGAGTCCCTGGGTGATGCACTGTACAATAAGAAAGGGAAAAAAAATTGAAAGATGCAAGTGAGTAAAGAAGAAATATTAATATAGAAAGCCTCTGAACTAAAAGGTATGGAAAAATAATTTATCCAGATGTTTTCAAAGGAGAAAATAATGTTGCTCACCCCAGTCAAATGTCTAGACATGATACCTACTAAAAGAAAAGTGTATGTACCAAAGCAATGACAGTAAAGAGTTAGAGCGTGCACATTTATATCACAGTCACATAAACCTTTTTGCAAAACTTCACAAGTGAATTTATATTGTAAAAATAAATGGTAAAACCCCCACAGGGTGATATGATGAGGCATGCCCCATATAACTGAGTACATTTTGGAGCTGATCAAAGAATTTTATTATTATTATTATTGTTGTGATAAATACCAAATTTCACCACATGAGGGTGCCTGCTAAAGACAGCTTCATGAAACGGAATTGAAGAAATCCTCATCATGTAAAAAATAAAGAAAGCAATGGTAAAATTCAATGTGTATGATCCTCATATTTACACACACACAAACCTATAGCTCAGGTTCATTTTGTTACTGACAAAGGTAGATATTGCGCTATGCTGAAAATAACACTAACTGTATTTCTTGTAGGAAAGTAAGTTTTTCTTATATATAAAAATACTTTGAATGTTTCAGAGGGAGGTAAATTTAAAAAGACTGGCCCCAGCCTTCGTATTACAAGTGCAAAAGCATCAGGATCCTGTTTTTAAAAGATTCACCACTGTTTTGCAGTTAAACAGACAAGTATCCCCATGTTGTATATTTCCCCATCTCCTGCAAAACTAATAGCTGTTTATAGGCGAAGGGCTTTCAATGACGAATCAGCATAGGGCTAAGCATTCTTTCTTCTATCCTGGCAACTGCTTTAAAGCATGAAAAACAACATTGGGAAATCCAATCATCTCCACTCACTGGAAGATCCAATTACCTGACTGTAATGACAGCAGAATAAAGCACACGCAGTTGTGTAAAGAATTAAAGAAGGAATTCTCTTGTCAGTAACCACAACCATAGTGGACTTTGCATATATTCATTCCAGCCCAATTAAGGAATACATATTTCTGGAAAGCAATTTCTGCACATAGTCCCATGACTGGAATCCTAGGCATATGTGGCTTTTGTGCATACAGGTCCTTCCCCTACAATCCAGTTGCTAAGACTGCACAAATGGAGTCCAGTTGCAAAACAATAATGGCATGATCAGCTGTTCAGAGGGCAGGCCTGAAATGCAGTTCTCCCCATTGCTGAAAAGCTGAACAAAGTGATCGGAGTTTTCTATCTTCTAGTATATATTCTTTTGCTCCATCTCCTTACAAAATTGATGTGGTTTTCAAACCAACTGCCAGGATCAGAAACCCACGTATTATTGACATAGTGTCAATGAGCAAAATGGCATTGAATGCTCCTTCAGAGTATTTGAAATCCGTAGAATTACATTATTATTTTGGGAAAAAAAGAACATCCCACAACTTTAAAAAAAAATGAAAAGAACAAAATGAAAATGGTAACAATGGCCAAAGGTTTACAAGATCACCCTAGGTCATGGAACTTTGGTAATTTTGAGTGACACCTCATAAATCTCATATAATAAAAAAGAATATTTGTGCGATCTCATGCTGAGATTTTTTTTATCACCCTTTTAAGATGTCTATCAGTCTGGAAAGGCATAGAAGCAATTACAGGTGATCCTCATGTTCAAACATGTGACAATGCTGAACAAGTGCAACTTATGATTGGTCCTTGAAGTTCTGACCACTGCAGCATCTCCACAGTTACATGACAGCAATCCAGGCCCTTCATAATGGACTTTGTTTTTCAACTGTCACAGCATCTCATGATCACATGATAATGATTTGTGACCTTCCCTGCCATCTTCAAAAGGGGAAACTGGCAGGAAGTTGGACATTACAGTCATGTGAGATTTGCTTAAGAATCCGCATGGTCTTCCCTTAATGATAGTAACTGAGAACTGCTGTTGCTAAGCAGTGCAGTCATGTGACATTGTGCTTTATAACTGCGTCATTTAGCAATGGAACGTCTGGTCCCAGTGACTGTTGTTAAGTGAAGACTACTTGTACATGATCTCATAAGACAATGGCCAGAGCTTGAAAAAAAAAATGGCTGATCCCTGTCCTTCTTACAAGGTGCATCTGCTCTAGGTAGAAATATATTGAAATAACCTGCTGTGAAATGCTTTGGAAAAGCGATGGTTGGGGTAGATGAAAAAGCCCACTCACCTGGACTGCATTTCTGGTTGTGCTTTTAACTGAAGCTGTGCTGCTTGCTGGAGGTGTTGGCACTGAGTCTGAGGTGAAGCTGGCACCAGTGGTTGTGGTTGTATCTGCTGGTCAAGTAGTCCCACCTGGCTGGGGGATGGAGAGCTTGCTTGCTGGGATGAGGTGGGTGGTTGCTGGGATGGAGAGTGCTCTGAATGTTGCTTTGGGGACTGCTGTTGCTGCTGCTTATAACGCGATAGGCTAAAGAAAAGGCCCAAGATGGCCTTTAAATTCCCATTCCTGATCTCTGAAAGGCAATTTAAAAAGAAGTATTTATATCATGAAATTGCATGGTGACCCAGTTCAACAAATGTTTGGTTAAATTTCAACTTTCTTTATTCAGCTCAGGCTCTGTGAAGACCCAATTGATCAAAATAGACCATCCTTGCAGGAACAAAATCCTCCAAAGAATTTAATAATATTTTTTTTTCTTTTCAGATAGAGGGTAATATAAATTGCTCTTTGTGGCCATGGTCTTCCAGATAACTTCAGTTCAGGGTCAAGGCAAATAACTATATATTGAATGAAATAGTTACAGGAAGATCTGACAAAATATTCTGGTAAGAAATAATAAACTCCCATTCAAATTATTGTCCATTTTTTTTGTTTCCTTTGACACTTTTGTTTGGATTATTTGTTGTTCCTAATTTACAGAATATTCTGGAGAAAAAATGCCCTAGACTACTGAAGGCTACATCCAGGACCACTGTAGAATTAAGATCCCCACATATACAGAAAACAAATAAATGTGAGTATCAAGAAACTGTCTCTCATCTTTGCATACATTGTATTTATTTCATGCAAACGTGAAACTGGCAATTGGCAAGGCTTGGTGTGTCTCAGCAGCAGGAGTGGGTCAGCCAGTGTGGACCTTTTCATGCATACTTTCAACATGTGAGAGGGGTCGTGTAAACTTCTAATACAGGAAAATGCCATTAAGAACAAATGCAATTAAAAGTTTCAGTAGCTTGATTCTTCAGAGGTCTTAGCAATAAAGCTGATACCTGGGAAAAGCAAACCGTCATTGGACTTTGTTATGCATTTGCTTAACAAATTCAAAATTCTTATCTCAGGAAACTGACTGAGGTAATTCACCTGGCATCTTGCAACTGGACTTTGTATACAGAGGGATCATCAAGCCTGGTCTGAATTACTTCCTCTTACTACCTCCTTCCCTTTTAGGGCTGTTTAAGTACAGAGACTCCAAGTTTCAATCCTGTGAGTCTATAACCTAGTCATTTCCATTCCAACCACAAAAAAGGATTTGGGTGGTTGTTGTTTTTTAAGCTGAAAACAAAATACTGCCAGATGTCACCATTTTTAAGGCACAGAGAGTTTCTTTTCAGTCTGGAGTTTGGAAACTTCCATGCTGTGAAGTTCTTTGGTTGCTTCGATTTCCTTTGCTCTGTTATTACATTTTAATATTTGTTTTCCTCCCGAGATGTAAAATCACTCAGCTCTCAAGTGAGACAAAAGAAAGACAATGCAGAAAGCCGACAAGAAGGAGGTGGAGCAATTTGAACGTAGAAACTGTGCAGGCTTTGTTCAAAAATCTCTGCAAGTATCTTTATGCCATTCGACATTTAACCCCAAACAGATTTTTTCCTACAAGCCAATCAACCGTGAGTCATTAGATTCTGAGAATATAAAGAGAGGTATTAATCAGGCTTTACTGGAAGTACTTAATCATTCTCAAAAATGATGAACCTCATAATCTATTCAGAGAAACACAGAAACCTGTATCTGGTCATTCTAGGCTACCTTGAACGTACATTTGAGAATCCAGTGCTATCTGCCATGTCTGATCGCTTCGTGCATAAATACAATCGCTTCCTCCTTCATGCATAAATACAATCAACCAGAGAATGGAAGACAGCTAGAAAAACAGTATAATTATCCTGCTGGCAAATGAAGCTGGGATTTCCCAGTAATCATAGAGTTAATACTCAGAACCAAGGAATTCTGTTGGCAGGCTACAAACTGGGTGCCACAACTGAAAAAAGAAAATCTGTCAGCTGGGAGGACTTTTCTGGGTTGTGAATCTTCTCCATAAGCATTCTGGCAGCTGACACATACAAACGTTCTCTCAAATTCACTCCGGCTCAAGAGGCTGTGTGAACTCAATGGTAGGGCGGCTGCTTTCGTTGTCAAGGTAACGGTGCTACATAGTCTGGAAAGAAAAACTGCATGGTTTGGAGAGAGACCCCCAGCTCATGCAACCTGTCTCACAGATAAGTAATCAAGAAAAAAATATAGTCTCACCTTGATTTCCATCTGAGATTAGTGAGAAAGACATACAGTGGCAGATTTAACTGCCACTTAATTGAAGAGTTTTCTTTTAAACTGATTCCTGCTTACAAATATGCAAGTGAAAGTAAAAGTTCACCTTAGAACTGAGATAAACATGCAAATGCTTTTCAGTGCCAGACCAATCATCCTTTGAGCACACAAAGCAGCATGGAAAAACAAAAGTAGGGATGCTCACAACGTGGTAAAAGCCAGAAAGTTTTACATAGAGTATTTCGCTAAGCAGAACCAAACCAACCAATCAAAGTAAAGCAAAGCATGAATTAAATTACCTGTGAAATAAAATATATTTTTGGACCTAGATTATCCATTTCAGTGTAAACACCCATTAATTTTGTCAAGGTAACATGCTATTGCATTTACAAATTTAGCCTAACAATATACCTATTAGTAAAACTATTAGAAATAGACCTATATTAGATCCCAACAGATGTGAAAGTATTTTTTTATATGAAGGAAGGAGAAAAGGAAGCAGGAACTCTTCCCTGGTATAAATAAAATGAAGAAAACAATGAAAGGACCGAAGTAGAACGGAGATGGAAAAAAGTGAATTTATGCCATTCTAATTAATATGCATTCCAATTACTTCAAAAGCCCACTTGTTAATATCCAGCAAACTTATCCAGAAAGAAAGAATGGATGGGCCATAGCTCAGGGGTATAGCACAAAGTAGATGTGTATATTGTATATTCCTGTATAATTCTGGCATCCCAGGTGAAGCTGAGAAACACTATGTTGTGAAGTCTTAGACTGCTTCCGATTGTTATCTTTGGTCACCACAAAAGATAATATTAAGCTGAATGAATCAAGCTTTTATCTGAGGCAACTGTTTTTTATAAATGACTTGAGTTTCTTTACTGCAAAAAGTCCACCAGATCTTGTCTGAGTAAAAATAAGGTAATTCAACCATTGCTTAATATATTTCTGTTGCTTTTTTCTACAAATAGCTCTTACATGGCTTTCTAGTCATTTTTTTTCTTATGCAATAATTTTCCCCTTTTGGGCTTTTCATGGTGAAATATTCCATCTAAGAATTTTTCATTGTCACCATTTCAAAATCATCAACCTCTTGTATTTCCCTGACATGTGACTGTTCTCTCTAAATATTTATATCTCAAGATCTATAATGAATTTCTTGCATTTACCTCCAAAGCCTTTTAGATTTTTTTTTTATTATCATACTGAAATTGCATTTGAGCGGTGTGCCTGTTCAAAATCTTTCTCTAATCCAAACCTGAAGCTTTGAACCTAAGCTTTAGAAGAAATGACATGAATACATAGTATTCCCATGTTTACCTAAACCTTCATCATGCTTTCCTCCTTCTTTTCCCTGTGATGAATGTTGAAATTTAAATCCCTTAGGGCATGAACAGCTTGCTATTATTATATAACACACTGATAGTGAAGGTAATTAATAGCTATTATGACTTATAGTATATTATTATCATTACTAAGATTTGCTAATGTTAATCAGCCTAGGCCAGATTTCTTTCTATTTCATTTATTTTATTCCTGTAGAAAATCACATTTGCAGATAGAAAATTCCCACAGATTAATAAAAATTCACTTTGAAAGTACTCTTACCTTCTGCAGATAGTCCCTGTATGTTTATTCCTTTGGCAGCCAGAAAACTCAGGCACACGTCTATGTTTTCAATCTTAAAAAATGAGGGGTAAGAGAGGAAATATTTTTTTAAAAATGTGCTGTAACCAACTTGTATTTTTATTCAATAGTATATAAGAAATTAACCTGCTATGAAATGTTCGTGTTGAAAACAGAATTCTATTTGCATAGTGCAGTGGTGGCGAACCTATGGCACGCATGCCAGAGGCGGCACTCAGAGCCCTCTCTGTGGGCACACGTGCCATGCCCTGGAGATGGCAACCATCCCTCTTCAACCAGCTGCCCGCTAACTTGCCGAGGTCCCACATGGCTGGATGTATCCCAGCACCCATGCGCTCACTGGCCTCTGTGTGCAAGGACTGATGGTGTCAGGCAGCAGCTGCCCCGGTCCCTGCCTCACCTTGCCCTGTGACAATGGCACCCCTGCCCTGCCTCGCCTTGCCTCGCCTCACCCCGCAGGACGAGCCTCCTGCCCACCGCCCCACCTGCCAGAGACCCCCTGGATCTTCCCCAACCCCACCCGGTCCCCACAAGCGTCCCTCCCCACGAGCAACATTGAGGTGATCACTCCCACCTTGGCCACACCCACCCAGTCTGCCATGACCACCACAGCCACGCCCACCTGGCACCCGGCGATAAATAAGTAGGTTTTGGGTTGCAGTTTGGGCACTCGGTCTCTAAAAGGTTCGCCATCACTGGCATAGTGGATTCCTTATCTCAGTTATTGCTCTCCTGCATTTACCAACGTTGGTCTTGAAAATTCAAACAATTCTTTGACCAGAGATGGGGAGAACGAGGACAATAGGACAGGGGTCCCCAACCCCTGGTCCATGGACTAGCACCGGTCCACGGCATGCCAGAAACCGAGCCACGCAAACAAGCGAAGTCCCATCTGTGGGATGCAAGCAGCACATGAAACCAAGCCCCCTCCGGTCCGTGGAAAAATGTCTCTCCACAGAACAGGTCCCTGGTGCCCAAAAGGTTGGGGGGCTGTTGCAGTAGGAGGTAGAGAAAGAATCCCACATGCTGATAGCAATCCCTTCTTAGAAATACTCTTGGATTTTGCTTATTGGCTAAATATGCTTAACATTTTGTTATTATATTTATATCTCCTTTTTAATTCCAAGAAACTACAGTAAGCACAATGTTTCCTGACTAATACATAGTTCATTGCTTACTTTTTGTGGATTGACATTTTCATTTTATGTTACTTATGCTGGAATAAAAATCCATGTGTAAAACTTCTTGTGAGTCGAATTAATTTAACCACTATAGCTAAGATTTTAATTTTTTGATAATTTTCATGATATGAGAACAATTGCTTAGCATGCAAAGAACTTTTTCACAAACATTCCTAGCAGTGCCCTAGCAGCAGTACCAGGGTAGAAGCATAACTTTTCAGTGTTTTATATCATCTTTCTTGAAATTAAACAGTAACCTTATAATTGTTTGATACAAAAATATCATTTATCTGAAATAAAACACCAAGTAAAAATGTGTAGAAGTTATAAAAGTAAAAAAAATAAAAAACCTGAACCAGAATCCAGAGCATGTTTAACCATACAATTGAACAATTATTTACTCCTCAATTGTTTTCTAAAAAGCAAATTATTATTTCTCAGTTTGGTTCTCCTTTATATCTAAGATGAACAGCCTCAAATGGGTTATATAAAACTTTAGAATTGCCTTCATGAAAAAGGCAATAAAGAGGATTGTTTCAACCTACTCCACATAGTGAACTGTGAAAGACTCTTTTCCCATTTACTATTTTGTTTTAGAAAGGCATAACACTTCTAACACCAGGCTTCATTAAAATAATTCTGATATATGGTTTAACATTGTATGAAATAACCACTACATAAAATTAATGACCAAAAGAATGAAATAGAATTCACTCAACAGTCTTCTTTGACTGACCATCCAAACATAGCCAGAACTATAGTAACACTTTGCTTCTATCGACATATAAATAAGTGAGACTCTGACTGGTGAGGATAAGTGATGACAGGCTACAATAATATAATTCAATCTACAGTTAAGCTCATTCACTAGAACTAGCTGTTTATGTTCCATAATATCATCAGAATCAAATATAAATATATCCAAACCAATTTCTTAAAAATCTGGAACTGAAAATCTGTTAACTTATCTAGAACTTTTTTAAAATGGGAAGATTGGAAAACATGAATTTTAGAGGTACAGTATGTAACAAATGGAAAATATTTCTTGTTTCAAACCTGAAACAACCACCATATATTGGAAGCTCCGCCCAACCATTTTTGTTTAACTATGATTAGGCAGAAAGAAAAGTTTGGTTCAGCCAAAACCAAATATAGAGGGATTCTAGAGCAGCGGTCTCCAACCCTTCTGGCTTTGCAGACTGGTGGGCGGGGGGGGGGAGAGGGTATGGTTCCACATGAGCACAGCTCTATTCACAGAAGCAGTGGGCACGCGCGTCTGCCACTCGCACAAGTGGAGATGAGCATGTTCTGGTTCTGAATGGGCTGCAACCTGGTAATTGGGGTAGTTGGTTGGGGACCTCTGTCCCAGAGTGATTCGTACAGTGGGAACAGGACAAGGCTATTATGCTTCATCCCTCTCTTCCTCTACCTCATGGGTATCAAACTCGCCATGTCACGTGATGTATCGCGACTTTTTTTGCATTGCCGGAGCTGGGGTAGGCATGGCCTCTGTATGATGCAACTGGCCAGCAGTTTGACACCCCTGCTCTACGTGGCTTGTTAACTGGCTCATCCACCTACCATCTTCTCAACTGCCATCTGCTCCCCCCTCCCAGCCACTGTCACCAATGTCACAATTCATTATATTTCACAAACTCTGCACATTTTCCTGGTATCCCCTCAGTGATTGCTGCCACTAGTGATAACTATACATGCTACTGCTTAGGAAATGCTTCAGCCATTGTTTTTCCTCAGTCTTCCCTCCCCAAACCATCTCTACTGAGAACGATTATATTTTAACCTACATGGGGAAGAATCTTGTTTTATTCAGGGTATAAACACATATGCGTGCATATTTCAGTTCAGACCACCCCACCAACTGTTTCATACAAGAGCACTTCATACACATAATGTTTTGTGCCCTCTTTGAATCTACAACATTCTTCCATAAATCTGTGGAGATTCTCAGTCATCTCATGGTTGTCCCAAAGGTGGTTTTTCAAGAAGCAACTGGACTTTTGGCTCTGAAGAAGCTGAAGAAGCTTCCTGGATGAGAAGTGAAACTTCTTTAAAGAAAAACAAGAAAGTCCAGTTGCCTCTTGAAAAAGCACCTTTGGGATATTCCATAAGCCACCCAGCCTCTTCCTAAACACCACTGACAAGCTTCTCTTATTCTTATGAAGTTTTCATAATGTTTAATCAGGATCTTTTTTTGTGTAACTTGAGACAGTTATTTCATGCCTGATATTCTAAAACAGGGGTGTCAAACTGCCGGCCTGCAGGCTGGATGCTTCATGCCGAAACCATGCCTACCCCAGCTCCGGCAATGGGGAAGAAGTCACGATACGTTGCGACACATCACGTCATGTTGCAAGTTTGACACCCCTGTTCTAAAACAATAGGGATCAGGTGTTTCCTCTCTTCTGCATAGCACCTCTCTATGTACTTCAAAAGTGTTACCAATACACTCACCTTTTCTCAGTGCTATTTATAGCCAGTTCCTCAGTCCCCTGATCTTTTTTATTACCTTCTTTGCAAATACGGTCATAGTTGAAGTGGGATTTTTTATCAGTACAAAATACAAGGGAATTATTATTATTTCTGGTGATTTCAAAATCAGACATTGGTGTGGTCTAAAACTGCATTTTTCTTTTTACAAGTTCATGTCACGCCATTTATTCATTCGCAGCTTGTGCTCAGCAATTCCAAGAACCACTTGATATGTGCTATGACCAAACCAGACAATGTCTACTCTTCTCTTTTGCACCAGATTTCTATTTTCGTGCTGATTCCTAATTATCATGGTATTTTTTTTCAAGGTAGCAGTAACAGAAGGATAGGCCCATACTTTCCTGAGCTCATCTTTCTCCCCCCAACTTTCTTTTTGCAGAGAGAAACATTGGCCCTCTTCCATTCATTCTAGGTTTTATTCCTTCAACCCACACAGGATTCAGTTGAGAGTCCTCTTTATCATGGTTGACATGTTTTGGCCACAAGCTTTCTAGTCTGAAGTAGTACATTTTTCATTTTTACCTAGTTTTGCTGCAAGTGCAAGCTATAATTATATCTTGTTGAATGCTGAATTATATCACTGTTATTCTTCAAAATTATAATTCTTCACAATTGAGAGTTGGGTTTTTTTTTTGCATACAGGGAAGAAGCTTAACAGATCTGAACACAATGGTTTAATGCATTTTAAAAATGCCCAGCGCTCTATAAATAATCTGAAATGATACCGTGTACACATATACATGGGGAGAGATTTCAACTGGTCACCTATAGTTTCAGATTTTATGGGGGGGAAGCAAAATATAATCATTCAATATATATTTTGTTACCGGTTAAAATTACTTATATTTCTTAAAAATTGTTTAATAGAGAACTTGCTTTGTTAGTTTATAACATAGCCTTATAATAGCAGCCTACAATGATCTGCATTGGGGAAAAAGCAGAACAAATAAAATCTTTCAAGTTTAATAATTACGTCTGGCAAATATCACTAAAACTATTAAGACTGGTTCAGGTCAAACCAAGACTATGTCAGAATATCAATATGCACAGAATGACATCATGATGCAAACTCCATCTTTATGTCCTTACATCCAGATCTTATCCAAAAACAAAAATTGCAGTTGTTGACTCACGATGCAAATTTTATTCCTTACTGCTGCCACTAAAGACATCTCCAGTATTGGTACCTTCTTCCTGACTCTCAGCTATTATTTATTCTCTTTTCTCATATAATTTTATACCACCTAAAATGTGACTGCTATAAAAGTCTCCTTAGACTTCAGGTCAGCTCTGGTGGTACATGGCCCATACAGTTTTCTTGGCAACAGTAGCAAAAGGTGTT